CTGGTAACCAAATCTAAGTAGCTAGGCAAGATACAAACTGCTGACCTGGATGGGAAAGGAGCCATAGATTATACTGATGCATAATGGGCAAAAAAATGCTTCATATAGCATAAAATAAACTCCTAGAATACTCTGAAATGGCTCAGTGCTTAACTAATGCAGCCCTCCTGGCTTTGAGTGGCTGGGTGTTAGCTGAATGATACCCTGCTCTTTATTTTAGCACATCTCCCAGTGAAGCTGTAACTTTGCTTTGCTAAAGCTGACAGAAACATTAAGTAAGTAAGTAACAAACTCAGCTGACAAATAATATGAAAGAGGTTTGTATGCTTTCTTGTACTTCATCTTAAGCCACTCCATGCAAGAGTTGAAAAATAATAGGCTTTTTCTTTCGTATTTGTTTGTAATAAATGCAGATAGCTTATATAAAGATTGTTATAATATAAACACTTGAAAATAATCTGAGCACAAGACATACTGTTCTGTACTGTCTATCACCATTTGAAAAAAAAAAACAGGTAAAATTTTTCTTTAGTGTTACTTTTTTTTTTCAAGCATATTTTAAGATGAGATTTCTAACTTGTTGCTATACAATACCTTGAAAGGGTTATTGCTCTTACTGTTCACAGTTGCATGCCATGTAGCTGAAGTACCAGGGAATCACCAGTTTATTGCTTGCTGAAGGAAAAATTGACAAGATTACCTTTATCTATCCACTTCAATAATACTTAGAATACTTATGGGATTTGTTTTTTTCCTTTGTTCCTAAATTTCTACAATCTGCAATAAAGCAAAGAAGTTGTGTCTAAAAAAGCCACTTAATGGCATCCTCCACCTGGCCTAGAGGCACAGCGAGGCTATCAACTGAATTGTTTTCTATACTATAACATTGAATTAACAATCTTCCTCTAGTCTACTCTTCACAGAGGTCTCAACTTCAACAGTGCAAAACCAGCTACTCCTTCTAAATCACGTAAACATTTACACTTGAATTTAAAGGAATAAACCTGAGACAACCTTCTATTAGGCAAAATTAAAAAAAAAAAAAAAGCAGAACACCAGGACTTCTGCTAGTCATGGGAACGTGTTTGTGACATGCTACTTCAAAGCCTGCTGAGGCAAATTCTAATTAGACTTAATCATCTAACACAGTGCCAATGCTATTTAGATCTCCAAAGACAGCATAAAGCAAAATGTTGAGCATAGTGTTAATTTATTTTTATATATTTTTTTCCAGGGCAACAAAGCACTATGTTTACCATGTGGAGGTTTTGTTACAGCATTGATTTCCTGTGTAACTCATCATAACCTGATGGCCTTACAAAATCAGAGTGGTAAAAGTTATGTTATATCCTTGTATCTCAGTGGTAGCTTCAAGCTTACTTGACACCGGAGAATTTACAAAAAAGCAGTCTTCCAAAGCCCAGAACTACCGCCCAGCAGAGGGTTGATATACAGAATGTTTTCTACTAGGATGAAAATAAATAGAAATATGGACATTTGAGGCTTTCCCATTAGAATATCAAGGCATGTTTACATCTATGGAAACTGTCCATTCACAGTTTACTACTCTGGGAAGATGCATTCTGTTTAGTCATCAGAAGCCTCCTGCTGCTAGTGTGTTTGGATTCCTATTTATCTAAGCATGAAAAATGTGTGCTTCCTGAGCTGCCAGTTAAACGTATTTTTAAAGTTCATAGGTTACTCCTCTTCGCTCCCACAGTTCTGCTATTCCTACGGTTAACTGAACCCATCAAATCTGGGTTTGGTTCAACGTGAACTGAATGCAGCCACATCAAAGTCACTGCACCTCCACATGGAAAGGGCCCACCTTACATGGAGGTGACTAGCAAAAAAGCTGCTGAACACGCATATTAGATCAGCCTGACAATAAATTCATGTCACTGGGTGAAAGACAGCCTTGGGCATGGCTATTTCTGTGTTGTTAATACAAGCAAATGACACCAGACAGCTCTTGTAAATTGGAAGCCCAGCATCTAAGTAATACAAACCAGCTCAGGGCATAAATATGAGACTAGCAATCCTCAAGCTATTTTCACAGATGAAAATATTTTCCTCTTCATAGCAGCAACACTTGTTCTTGCACCAATGGACACCTCTCCATGGCAAGAGTTAATATCATTAATCAGCTTCCTGGCAAGCTAGAAAACGTACATGGTTACTTTCTCCTTTGCTCCTTGAAAACTGCATGATGCAGCTTGTCATCTGCTATCCCCAGTGTGCCTGCTCCAGCCTTCATCCTCTAGCTTGGATTGCAGCCCTTGGGCTTTGCAGAGTTCCCCTGGCACAAGTCACAAGGCAAAGGCAATTTTTATATTCGTGTCTGCAAAGAAGATGAGAAGTTCTGACAAGGGAAGTACCAAATTCAGCCTTTTCCTCCCCAGATGATGGAAGTGATTGCATAAGCTCCTCCTCCCTTTCTAAAAGCAGCAAGATACTAACAGATGCCTGATATTCAAGAATTTTTCAGCTTCTCCTTTTGCAGTATTAACACCAGTGGTCATCATGATTACTGTTTACAGAGTCTGTTTTTAAAGGCTAGCTATTATTCCCAAACCAAGGGGAAAACAAAACCAAACAGAAAAATAGCTGTGCTGAATGTAATTAATTCCAATTCTTGGACGTGGAGGAGAAAAGAGTTGGAGGTTGTGAGCAGTCTGTTGGCCATCGGACGGTTGGCAGATGGCTTACCGAGCACTGGGGCAGCTGTGGAGCATTGCGGTATCAGACAGGCGTCAGACCAGAGTTCCCGCCCACAGCTTCCAGCCAGCTCCTTCTCTGTGATGTGCAAATTCTTCCAACCAGTTTCTCTACAGGGTGGAGGAATAAACTTCTATTCTTTTCATTCTGGTGTTATGAGATCATATGAATATTAAAAAGGGGCATGCACATCTCTCAGATTATAGCTCTAGACCCTTTTCCTTAAAGATTTGATGCATAATCAAAAAGGCAATTATTCTGGCAGAAAATAAAGCATTTCCAGAGCTCAATTACCAATTCCTGCTGCTGAGGTAGTAACTGAAGGGATTGTCTCAGCTCTACTAAAGGATGTATCTGGCAAAATATGAGCAAATCAGTGAACTTCTCATTCACAAAAAGCACACTGCTACCTCTCATAGCAATGAATTCCCAACTCTGGAATAAAAGAAACATGTGGTAAAGGAGTTAGGATGTGAGAGGCTATTTCCCTGGACAAATTCCAGGTTATAGCTGAAATGTCCTAGGGCACAACATCACTTTCACAACTATTATACAAATTCTTAGCATAAGCCAATGCTGAACAAAAAGTCCCAATCTAAAAATGGCACCTTCTTGCCAGTGTGGAAGGGACAAAGTCACACACTACCAGGTTCCATGGAAGTTATGTGGAATAAAGAAGTGAGCAAGAAGGGAGAACTGTGTTAAGAAATAGATGAATAAGTTGATGAAAGACTTTGCATGAGCTCCTTAACCAACATGCATTACCGTGAAGAAACTGCTTGCTCTCAACTATCAAAATAAGCATATTCATATTCCTCTCAGGTTCAGTGGCAGAACACCTTGATATTCCTTTGATGAAAGGCTCAATGTGCTGCTGTTTCCCCAGTGCCCAATCTTTCCTTCACATAGTTTTCTGGATACTACTTAATGTTTATTAGAGTAGAAGAAAGCAGAATGCAAAGTGAGGAGTGCCTTGTATAAAACCTAATTTCTGAGGCCAAGCCACATTTTCCACTGCTGCTCAAAGACTCTTGATACTATTAACTGTGTTTGCTCAGGCTTGCATTGAAGTGCTTTAATTCAGCAGGAGACGTTTTATTAGGTACTGATACAGACAACGAGGTAACTACTGTTAACATGAACAACATCGATATTCTAGTTGCATTTTACATCATTCTTATTTCAACTGCTTTTTAATGCAAACAAAAAGTTATTTCCTCTATATTTTTCCTTAAAAAAAGATCAACTTTCCCTTCAAAAGCCAATGGGATGATGATGTAAAAATGCCAATTAAAACCCAAAGAATGTGACCCACATGCAGAGCTGTGAGAGGGAAGGAAGTTTACACTGATAAAGTAAATGTTCCAGCAAGTTTATCCAACACCTAACTCAGACAAAATATTTTGTAGTAATGAAAGGTTTTGTTTTTAAAATTTTCCTTTTTTGTTAGAAGCAAGTGTTCTTGATATTCTTCAAGTCAAGTGTTACACTGAAATGCGACAATGCGGTGGTAACAACATGCTTGTATATGCTGTAGAACCTGCTATGCAGAACTACAATTTGACAACCATCAGAACTAGCACAATGCCTATCACCCAAACAGAAGCGTTCTACTGGCCAAAAACTTTCCTACGGATCAGCGCTGGGCAAAGGATATTTTACATCAGCTGCTTCCTTTTAATATATAAATATGTAAAAGGCTGGCCTAGCCTTTGATGTATGTTTAAATACACAGGTTCACTGCACAAATATTTTAACTGCTTCTTTGTAATACATACTGGAAATGATAGTCTGCACACATTAGTTTGGCTGGGAAAGAACTGCTTTGCTATCAGCAAACAGCACAGACCAAATTAAGCAGACTACAGACTTTAGCTAGTCAGCTCCTCAGACCCACATATATTTCAGAGAAGTTCAAAGAAACACTGAAGAAAAAGCAAACATAAAAAACAAACCCAGAAGAAAAAAATGAAGACATTATTTCTGTGCTTCAGTGGAAGCTTCAGAATAGAATAGAGCCTTAAATATTTAATATCTTTAATAAAAAGGTATGCTAACTCTTCTCTGTAGCAAATTTGTAATAGCAAGCCTAGGCCAAGACTTGAAAGCTGCTCATATTCCATTACTGGGACTCAGTTTCCAGCAGGCGTTTTTTTTTTTTTCTCCTGATCCTAACCATGACTTGGAAACCAGGTTAGCATTTCTAGAGCATGCCAGACCACACACATCTGTCAGTCATCTGGATGCAGGTGGACTGCAGATAAAGAAAAACCCCAAGGCTCAGGAGAAGAACCTCCTTAAAGGTTAAAGCAGACAGATAACAGAGGTATATGCTAACAACACATTTCAGGTATCACATAAATTCTCCACAGCATTTGCAAAATGGAAACTTTTATAGTAGTCCTACTGCACAGAGGAAAAGAAAGAACAATTCAAAAGCATCCAGATAAAAAGCATGGTAGAAATAACGGGAACGTAAAACTGCAGACTAGAATATATGCTTGTATCATTTGTTATCAGATTATTCACTGTCAGGACTTAAATAAGCCATCTAGAAAATGGCTGAGACCTTAATATAAATAATCAAGCAACTCTGTTTTACTTACATTTATCTCCGTGAAACTTAACTAGATGTCCTTATACTCTTTATATCTCTTTCAAGTCCTTACTAGCAGAGTCTCCAGCCCATACAAAAGAGCAGTAAACATACCTCAGGCTATTATTCCAAACCCAGGTTCACTTGCAGCCTCCCTTTTGCTTGTTACTAGGAAAGACCTTTCTGCAGAGCCTGAAGATTGCCAAGCATTAGCAACCTTACTGCAAAGCACTGTGAGCAACACATAAACAGGCTGAAAGAGAAAAAAAGAACATGTATTCTAGCAGGCATGCAGAATCTTTTTCATTTACAGCAAAAGCAGTTTTTTATAGCAGCAATGATGCTGTTCAACTATCAGTGCTTTGCTGACAGCTGCTGAGTTATTGACTCTAACAGGTACTACACACCAACTCTAGTGCTATGGATGTGGATCTCCCATGAATCTAGATGAGCCTATTCACAATATAAGTGTATGCCAGTAAGAATTTTGCAATATTTGCTTCACATAAAATGTCTGTGCTTAAATTGATTTTGAGAGAAGGATCAAAAGGAAATTGCTTGCCATTTTATTTTAACCATTTAAAAATATAAACATGAAATAGGAAGTTACATTTCCATAGCACATTAGCATACAAGTTACAAAAAGAGTACTAAAAAACCTTGAAAAGTTATAAATTACCTCTATCTTAAAAAATTCTGATTGCTAACATCTGAAAAGCACCGTGTGGTGACCTCACACACAAACAAGGGTTGATTTTGAAATCTGAGTGCACGTTTGTGTTACGTTTTTACAGATAGTGAATGCATGATCACTTGTATCCACAGCTCAGTTTAGAAATACATATTCATGTGAAAACTGCCCAAGCACAAGCAAGGGAAAGCCAACTGAAAATGCGGCCCTTCAATTACCAGCACTATTAAAATCCAGCTAAAGATGCTGGATTTGCCTTAGCTCAATTTGTCTTACTCTTGTAAACATTATATGAATGAAGCAGAAGCTTCCTCACATGGAAAAGCATTAATTTTGACTGAAATAAACTGTGTTTAGAAACAAGGAAAAAAAGAAAGATAACTGTAGCTGTTGAGAGATTACAATAGTTATTTGAGCTCAGGACTTTTTAATAGTATCAAAACAACCACTGATCTGAAATTTTGGTTATTAAATATTATGGTATAGGAGATTTTTCTTTCTCTAAATATTACCCTTGGTTTGTACAATATTTATGCATTTAATACGAAAAGATATAATTATCTTCATAACAGTTCCAAATAGCTAAGATGCCTTGTTAACTCGTTATTTAAAATTTTATCTAATTTTGACTTTTTTTAAAAATATATTTTTTAAATTTAATTGCTTCCTACTTTTTATATATGCTTTCCAAACACAAATCTGGCTGTCCACCCACACTACCATGGTGATATTTCGGTCTTTATGGCCTCTTAAGCCTTCGTAGTTTTAACTTCCTGAGACCATCTTCACCTTCTTTTTTCCTTTTTTGGATCAGCTTCTCTGAAGACACAGCCTGCATTTCTAAATAGGATGATGAAGGCACCACAGGTAATTCTTCAGTGGTTGTGTCAGGCTCGTTTTGGTTTGTCCTCATAGAAAGAGGCTGGGATTGTTTTTTTCCAGAAGTAACTAACTTTTCATCAGATGCAATTTTTGTTAAGTCTTGTTTACAAAACAACCTGGAATTAAGTGGGGTCTTCTCCTCCAAGAACAGACTTAGATGATCATCACTGCACTTACTCCTTTCTGTGTTGCTAGGAATTAAGGGAGCCTCTTCAGAGGATATTTCTTTGAAATGGTCTAACTTTTCTTCTGAACTACAACTCTTTTGTTGAGCCTGTGTTTCAGTTATTTTTTGATTTTGTTTTGGGCCTAGCAGTGCTGACTCATAGCTACAAGGAGAATTTTTGCTTAGAAGTCTTGACTTCAACCACTCCACAGAGTGAGGTTTTTGCTGGCTGCTAGCATCCTCTGGCTGTCTCTGATTAACATTATTTTCCAGCTCTGAAACAGGAAACTCCAAGTTGCTCTCAGCTGTATTTATGCAGTTCTGTAGCCGTCCTGTGCTCCTCCATTTCACTTCTGATTGAGGACTGGGAGAAGTCTGACAGTCATTCTTTCTGTTCCCTGTCTGTAAGCCCACTGAGCCAAGATCCACTTTCTTGGAGTCCTTGTTGGTTTGAGGTTTGCTTACACTATTTTTCCCCTTTTTTGTCCTTTTCACACTGCAATAAAAAGGGATGTTGTTTTTAATAAAAAGAAATGTTTGCTGTCTCAATCTGCCCTTCTTACAAAATCTGAAAGACCACCAGGGCAACTCTCTTTTTGAATGTGGAAAAAAAATCCCCGTATATCATCTTGACAAGCTGTAATGTTTGCCTAGTGTGGATAATATCAAGTATTATCCATCTGATTTTCCACTGCACTAGGGGAACCCTACTTATTAATGACTAAGCCACTAAGGAGTTCACATTCTATTCCAAGAGGCAGAACTGGATTCATTACAAGTGTTAAAGGTCAACACAACATAAGTATATTGAATTCCTTCCCAAACCGGCTAGATAAAATAGTATGTCATAAGTGCCTAAATGATTCCAAACCATTCCCAGATATCCGTATGCATAATGCATATCTAAAGAATAGAGGGGGGCAGGCTGGAGAAGCAGTGTGTGCGCCTGTGCGACTTTCTAATCTCTAGTTTAGAAACATTCCTCTGGAATTTTTCCCAGGACATTTCAAAGCACTACTTTAAAGCTAACCACCACTCATCTAATATCAAGCCTGCTCATCTGGGAAGGACTTAGGTAATGCATGCAGATGATATTCTGAAAGGAATTATACAGGAAAAGGGAATCAATCACACAGGACATGACAGAGCATCAGTTCATACACACTCCTCGGCAGAGTGCCTTACCTACAAATCCAAACTTCACACAGATTGTGAAATGAACTTTATGCACGAGTACTGAAGCTGCCTACTTAAAGTTTTTAGTCTAAGATATTGCTATAGAGCACCCCATACTGGGACTGCCTTCTGCTGGTCTGCTGGCACCAAGCAGTTCCCAGATTGATATTTAACTCCTTGGAAAAGTGGTTCCTACAGAATAGCTAGAACTGGCTCCAATTCTAATCTCCCTTCTAAAAACAACAAACAAGACAACATGGGTTAAAATTGAAGTTGCCAGAGTTCATAGCAAATACCCAAGTCCACAGTTGATATACTAAATACATGGAACTTCTGGCAGTTGGTGCAAATAAAAATAGCACCCTGGTACAGCAGGCAACATGCTCTGCTGACCAACTGAAGTCCTCATCTACTACAGGCTAGAGCTGTGCAGGGCACTCTTCGGCTGTGGCAAAATATCCAGACTATCACACAACCACTACAGATTCTCAAAACAAATGAAATACTTGCAATACATATTTGCAAGTGTTTTTCACCAGACTGAAACAGCACTTATTTATTTTGGCTCAGAGCTTCTTTCAAGAAAAAGACACCCTGTTTTGGTTCTGCCTTGTGCTAGAGGAGGTATCTACGCGGGTTATAACAGCTTTCATTTTTTATGTTGTACAGAATAAGATAGATCATTTTATGTGCTTTCTTCACAGCAGAGCGACAGCTTATTGATGTTGAATAATCCTTTACAGAGAAGTTCATATTATTTGACATTTCACTACATAGACTAGATTCTATTAACACAAATTCTATCAGATTATAAATATAACAACTTAGAAACAAAGAGACATACATTTCCTTCAAGATATCTTGCTTTATCTGCTCGTTCAGACTAAGCTTAAGCTTTCTGTTTTCAGCAGATTCAGAAAAATATTCAGATGTCCCATTGGAAACTTCTTTCTGTTCCAAAAGAAAACACAGGTTTGAAATGTGACACATCAAGATACAATTATTCAACATTAAGCTTCATTTCTAATACCAAGACTTGCAGATGTTCTTTATTATTCTGATCCGAGCAGTCTAAAAGAAACAGCTAAGAAGAGAATTATTAATTTTTTAATACTTGGGTCGAGTCAGCTCACTCCCTTTTCAGACTCCCAATGAACATATTTCATATGCTAAAATATATCACAAACAAACAAGACTGCAACATAAAGGATGCAGCTTTCCAAACCGTCTGAGGAAACTGTTGGCAAATATTTGACATCTTTGTGGCTCAAACTGTGACAAATGCCAGGAATCTCTCTTGCAGACAGGAGCATGTTCGTCAGTTTTTTTTCTGAAGAGACTGACTGGCGCAGTGGTCTATACACTTATTCTCAGAAGAATTCCCATAATTTTCCATACTTACAAAATATATACAGAGTATTACTTGCTCATTTAAGAAGGTAAGGGTTAAAATTTTTAATGCTAACATTCAAACACTCACAGCTTGTGGTGGTTGGCTACTACAGGACAACAGGGGAATTCTTTCTGGTCTCAACTAACAGCAGTACCATATTTTTAAATAATATGAGATTGAGGCAACAGAGAGGGAAGGAAAATGCTCTTTTTTCTTCAAGCTGTGAGCATTTCCTTTCACAATGAAAGGATCTCAATGAGGGAAGGGCCAGTTGCTGACTTCACTATTAACCGCCACACACTTCAAAAAAATATTATCTCTGAAGCTAGAGAAGAAAAAAAAAAAACATTGCAAAGTCAAGAAGAGAAGAGGCTCTCTGTTTCTCCTTTCCTCTGAGAGCTTTTTTCTCCATTAGATCAAATGATGAAACTTCTGACTTGGAGGGTCATCAAATGTAGGGAGTGCTTCTTGATAACATTTCTTGATCCGAGCTGTAAATCCAGCTCACTAAAAGCCAGGCAGTATGAAAGAATGGAAGCACGGAGGGACAGCATAGGCAGGAGGCTAAGCATGTATGTGGAACATGTTACCTGGAACGCCACTCAGGAACCTGTCACTGAGGTGGGATTAAGCCCTGCCCATATGAGTTTCTATCGGAGAAGGGGTAAATCCCACCACTCATTCAAAGAACAAAGCAGTGAAATCAGCTTTCTGTCTTGTAAGCAGAAAGAGGATAGTCAGGTCAGGCAAAGAAAACAGGCCCTTTTGACACTTCAAAAAACTACAGCTGTTTTGAGCCTTCATTTCAGAGGCAATCTGTGCAAATGCTTGTGTGTACATTAACAGATGCATGAAGCTCTGTGCACTAACACTGCAACACATGTTTACAATAAGCACAAAATACATTGGACGTGTGTGCAAAGAGATTTCAATCTCAAAAATCAAGCCTGACTAGTTTAATCTGAAGGATGAATTGCTGCTTCTATTCCTGCGAGAGATATGGACTCTCCTAATTTAACTTCATATGTTTTCGTATTTTGTGAGCTACTGAAGAAGGAAATATTATGAAGATACTAAAGGATCTGTGCTACTTCTAAGAGAATGCACAGACCAACTGTAAAGTCTGCAGAAACTAATTTGACTTCCTGTAACATCTGCACGACTCAGACTGAAGGATCTTGCACAATAATGCTGTATCAGAGCAGCCGGAGAGCACTCTTACTTAGCCAGAGAAGTACAAACAGAAGCATCTGAACTTCCCTAGTTGCAAGTTATGGTAGTTGGAAAGGCTAATTACATTACGTCTGCTTCAGTCCTCAGCTGAGAACATCAGTGAGGCAGTCTACGATAGGATCACCAGACCACTAAGGTGATTTTCCTAGATATGGTAAACAATGGGTGGAAAGTAGCTTTGTACAAAAACCTGTGTGTCAGTGCAGGCAGGGGAGGATCGAGGACAGTTGCTGTCCACACATACTTACTACTGCAAGTAAGCAATAAACCTCAGTTCTAACTTGTATCCCATTACGAGCATTGAACGATTGCTGTCTGGAATGTACAGTCAAGGGTGTGAAGAGCAGACCCCAGAAAGAGGCGGAGATAACAAAGCCATTCCGCTGTGGGTTGAGTCAGACTGGAAGTTAATGGTCCAGAATGGAAGGGCAAACACGTTCGCTGTGCCATCATCAACCTTTCATTTTGTTTGCCAGTAACTTTATCAGACAACATAGTGACAGAAAAGGGTTAAGGTATTAAAAAAATAATCAAAATGATTTATATGTGAAACGCTTCTGAACATGCCCTCTAAGTACAGTAGATTTTCCCCTTAGAACCACACCCTGTAAGTGCTGTATTTTGAGAGCTGAACAATTAACATGAGGCATATGAGTCAGTCTTTGAAAAACTCTGTGGGAACCAAAGAGCCTTTTGCTATTAGGAGTGATGTAAACTCCCTAAGGCTGGAATAAGTCCACAATAGAAGGCAAAGAGTCACAAATAACAACAATGGGCACTCCATATACAACTAAGACATTCAGCCATTACTGGTGATACTTCCTTTATTTTCCTTATTAGACTTAATTATTTTAGTTAATTAAGAAAAATAAAAAATCCTGTCTGTTTTGGGAATACTATTTATTTCCTATGGGAACTTCAGAACTTGTTAAAGAAAGAAAAAAAAGGCTAATCTGTTCTCATCCTGTCTAGTAATCCCAAATTCCTTTTAGGCAGTGAAATAATTAAAGAAAAATATTCCAGGCATAAAAAGGAGGACAGCAGAAGCAGACATCATATAAACAATGACACCATGACAGAGAAAAACGTCAAAGCACCGCCAGACTTGTGACTTGACTCTGAAAGAGCTGCAGGGAGTGGGGTTGCTGCTAACAAATTAAAACCACATTTCTTGGCAAATTGTTAAAGACAGACATATTTACATTTGTATAGAGACTGGGTGGGCACAAAAGATTAAAATGCTTCTTTAGCCCTTGAACTGCCAAGATCTATTAGAAATCTGGGCTCTTAAAATCCTAGGGTAAGCTCACTCCTTTTTGTCACTAAAACTCAGCTAAGGGCGCGCAGAAATGAAGCTTACGAAGACTTACTACCCTACCTGCTCAAAATATTGACCTCGCAAAACCTGCACTGAAGATCCTTAACATTTGTCCAAAGAGATGTCTGGAAAAAAAACAAAAACTTCTGCTCACGCCCACACATAAAAATGACTGTTAGACACAAAATATACTTGCTTTTAGGATTTTCAAATTGAAAATCCATTCTTCTACTATCTACACTCAAACTCAAAATTAAAAGTAAACCTTCAAAAACATTCAAAAAAGGGTGGCTGCCATCTGCAGCTCTTTCCAACACAGCTCAGTTTAGCAAAGTTGCTTTAATACTTGCAAAAGAACTAACAACTCACAATCGTGAAGAAGACTGAAAGGTTTGCCCTTTTCCACAAATAAGCCTTACAATATTGCTCACTTTTTTTTTTTTCTTTTCTTTTCTTTTTTTTTTTTTTTTTCAATCGAGGGTTTGGGATGTAGGTCTGAAAGAAAAAAAAAGTCAAAGCAAACAGTGCTGCCCCCCTTCCCTCCTCTAGTTTGGATCCACGTTTTCTAGTTGTCTCCTACTATGCTCAGGACAACTGTTGCACATGCTTATGTACCAATAAAGTTACAGTAAAGGATAATTAAATTTCATGTCTGCTTAAAGGAAACAAACCACACTATTTCTGAGTTGCACTTATCAATGTGGCTCAAGTTTCTCAGCAAAAAAACTTAATAGAAAACATCAATGAGTCCCATAAATCATATTTAACATTGGAGTAGCATAGAAGAGTCCCCACTGAGGCCCCACTGAGCACATGCAGCAAGACAGTCCCCAACATCAAATTGAATATAACAATATAGATGAAACAACGTTATAAAGTATTATCCCAGTAACACATGAAAAAAATTAAAATTAGTGAAAAAAATCAGTTAAACACTTATTCTAGGGAGCTTTATGTAAGTTGCAATTGCATGATTTTTCTTAATGTCAGTGTCACATTAGCAGTGTCATAAGCTCAATCACATAGATCTTTAGATCTCAATATAATTTATAATAGATAATCAATATCTTTTATAATAGATGCCCAGCAGATCAGAGAGGTCAGACAGGGCTATTCAATCTGGTAAACAGAAAAGGACTCATTAGAGAAGTGGGGGGACTTGCTAGTGAAGGATGAATCAGATACTATAATCTAACTGATAGAAAACAGACAGTGATAGGACTTTGGGTCTAGCCTTCTACCCTACCATATATGAATGGAAAATCTTCTTCCAGTCATTTCACGACCTGTGAGGCAAAGATTACAGTGTTTTCAGTGCAGCAACGTAGCTGTCTTACAGATTCTACTTACAGAATCATAAGGTTGTTTGAGCTGGAAGGGACCTTTAAAGGTCATCTTGTCCAACTCCCCTGTAATGAACAGGGATGCCTACAGCTCGATCAGGTTGCTCAGAGCCCCATCCACCTTGTCCTTGAATGACAGTGCATCCACATTTCTGGGCAACCTGTTCCAGTGCCTCATCACTTTCACTGTAAAAAACTTCTTCCTTATATCCAATGTAAACCGCCCTTCTTTACTTTGAAACCATTTCCCCATGTCCTATTACAATAGTCTCTATTAAAGCGTCTGTCCCCTTCTTTCTTATAGGCCCCCTTTGGATACTGAAAGGCCACTCTCAGGTCTCCTGGAGCCTTCTCTTCTCTGGGCTGAACAGCCCCAGCCCTCTCAGTCAGAACTCCTGCACTGTAAAACATTCACAGTAATTTTCCACGTACAGAAAAGGATAGTATTCTCAACCTGAAATACAATTCCTTGATTAGACTTGCAGAATATTACTTGACATTTTCAAATGGACTGTTCTGTATGTCAGAAAGTTATAGTAAAAATAGCAAGGATCACTTTCCATGTTACACATGGGAGTACTGATTTCCCATTTGAAGCAGCTATTTTTAAGGAACATGATGGTTTTGAAATGCATTCTTCTGAAACAGGGGTAATAAGCAGAGA